CCTTCCTTCCCTCCTTCCTTCCTTGAGAAAGAGAAACATTGATGTGAGAGAGAAACATGGATCAGTTGCCTCCCGCATTCCCTGACCGGGGATCGAACCCGCCACCTGGATATGTGCCCTGACCGGGAATAGAACTTGCCGCCTTTTGGTGTCCAGGACGATGCTCCGACCAACTGAGCCACACCGGCCAGGGCTGCCTCAGGTGTGTCAATTTCCACCATCCCTTACACACTTGCTCCTCTGTTGCCAAATCTCACAAATTTGCCCTTGAACCAGCAGCTCCAAATATCAGCACCCAGGGCTTTCTCTAACCTGAGCTTGCTGGCATTGCACAAACAATCAGAGCTTAACTGAGAGAAATACTGAATAAAAAGTTTTTTTCCAAGAAAATTTGCTTTATTGTGTTCTGGTTTTTTTTGGCATGGCTATACAAGCAATACAAGTTTAAACTTATATAAAGTCAGAAAAGCATTAAGATGATTCATAATATACACGCTAAAAACCTTGAGGATTTCCAGGAATCCGCCATTACAAATGAAATGAAAGAAAACATACTAAGTCAAAAACACAGAATACAGACGCCTAATAATAATATGACAAAAACCATGAAAGACCCATTCAGGGAAAAATCCTATAACTTAGTCATATAGTCATTAAAGATGGCGTAAATGAATGGAAAGAAACTCCCACTTCATGGATTGTGAGTCTCAATATTATATAGATGTCATTCCCCCTAGACTAGTTTATGTAACTCCAATTAAACGCCTCCCCATATTTTGGGTGAAAGTGTACAAATTGAGTATAAAATTAACATGGAAAGAGAAAGGGCCAAGGGAAGCCATGGATTTTGGTGAAAAGAGAGCAGCGTTTTCTATGAGATCTGAATAGTTATTTTAAGGTTATGGTAATTAAGAGAAGGTAGTATTTCCGCCCACTTAATCTTTAAGTCTTCGACCCATTTCGAGTTGATCTGTGTGTGGTGCAAACATCTAAATTCATCTTCCTGCGCGTGGAGATCCGGTTTTCCCAACAGCATTTGCTGGGGAGACATCCTTTCCCCATTATGTGTCCCCGGCAGCCTTGCTGAACATCAGTTGACTGTATGGCAAAGTACCGGCAGCAAAAGCAAAAATAGGCAAAGAGAGAGTACATCCAACTAAAGAGCTTCCGCACGGTAAGCAAGACAATCAATAGAGTGAAGGCAAGCTATGCGGAGGGAGAAAATATTTGCAAACCACAAATCTGTCAAGGGGGTAATTTCCAAAATAATAAGGAACTCCTACAAGTCGATAGCAAACCAATTTAAAAAAACAAAACAAAAACCAAACCTAATAATCCTATCACAAAATGGGCCAAGAACTGGAATAGCCATTTCTTAAAATAAAAATAAAAAGACACACAGATGGCCAACAGGGATCTATATGACAAGACGCTCAGCATCACTAATGATCAGGGAAATGCAAATCAGAACAGTGAGCTATCACCTCTCGCCTGTTAGAATGGCTATGATATTAAAAACAACAACAACAAAAGACAAGCGCTGGGCAGGATGTGGAGGACCTGGAACCCTCAGGCACTGTGCTGGTGGGAAGGAAAATGGTGCAGCCGCTCTGGAAAATGGTATGGGAATCCCTCGAAAAATTAAAACGAGCACTCCCATCTGATCCATCTGGCTTTTCAATCAAGCAACTGATTACTAATCCAATTAATGTACCCACGGCTGTAATATCGTTGATAATCCTGAAACTCAGAAGACAACACGGGTGGATCAGCCACATGGTAAAGGCAGTGGTGCCGTGACCTGCGATGCCCAAATTTTCCTCTCAGCAGGGAGTGAGAACCACGGTAAACCCGGCCAAGCAGGTACCGAAACTAGGTGGGGAGTGGAACCCCACAAAAAGCCCTACATACCCAGAGAGACAGGCAGAGTCCGTGGAAAGGCTGGGGAGACAGGCCCCACATTTTAACGGGCTGGAGGGAGGGGTTGTGGGAGTGTTGTTTTTGTTCCAGGAATAAATTGTTTTAAATGATTTATTTTGCCAATGTTAAAGGCAGTAACTAAATATTGTCACGAAGGAAGAAATTAATACAGATCCTTGGGAACAGGAGGGCCACACGGGGCAGACCAGAGGGAGTGAGGGGCAAGCGTGGACAGGGACCTCTGTCGTGGTTCCCACGAGAAAGCGAGGCAGGGCAAGCGGGCTTAGGACGGGCAGTGTGAATGATGACAGGGGCTCCGCAGTGCGGGCCGTGCGGGGGTGCCTGGGACCTGGCCCTGGGTGAGTGGGGCCCGGAGCTCCCCGGGCGCCAGCAGAGGGGTCTGGGCTCGGAGCGGCTGGTTTGCACCCAGAGGGCAACCGGTGCGTGTGTTCATTTCTCTTCCACCCGGGGAGGGGAGGCTCTGCCTGGTGCAGGTGGCGGCTGTGACAGGATCCAGGGCGCTGTCCCTAATCAGAGGGCTGACAGGTCTTGAGAGCACGTTATCCGGTCACCTTCTCGGCCTCCTTAGATCTGAAAGGGTAAAGTACAGGAATGCATTGGAGAGCTGGTCGCCCCACCTTGGCATTTACAGTGGACTCTGTGACATGCCACTTGGCTTCTCAAGGAAAGAGGAGTGAGTCCCAGGTGCCAGGGAGGCTGGCAGCGAACAGACTTCAGCGATGAGCCCCTCCAGAGTGGCCTGGGCTGCAGAGGGCCCCTGGCTAAGGCCACGCCCCATCCCGAGTTGCCCATATTCTGGGGCTTGTCCAGGGTGTGTATAAGGGCCTGACCCCTTCAGACCGCTGGTGGCCAACTCTGAAGGCCCTTGGAGCTCCAGGGCTCCCCAGGGAGGGGT